ACGAAACTCTGTATTAAAATGTATAGGAAAGGGAATCGTGAAATAAGTACACTATACATAATGACTACGCAAAGCGTGTCTTATCTTCCCCAGTAGCTCGTTTTCATGGTGTTGAGAAAATCCCCGTTGCTCCTAAAATTTCCGAATATTTGCACAAACTCATTAATTTCATAAGTCTGTTTGGTTTGACGAAAATCCCGTTAAAATGGATGCGCTTTCCGTAGCAATTGAGTTATTTTCTAGTTGTAAGTTGGCAGATGAGCAAACAGCGCGTCATCCTGCCATCGCTTCGGGGTAAACAAGATACATGCAAAGACGCTTAATTGCCGTGGGTTTATTCGTAGTGCATACCAAAGTAATCTCTAAACGACTTCAAATTAAGAAGCAGAATATCAAAGCGAAATATAAAGTAGAATTTTGACGACGTCTATATAATAATTGAAATACATTAGCTTGAGACGGAACTGTTTCAGATTCCGACAAGGAGCCGCGACTTGGGTGTTTAGATATGGAGATACAGTCCGCTTGAAAAACGAACGAAACCACCGGAAAATGAATATTTAACTTGTCATAATAGATGTGGAAACGTTCCAGAGAAAACCTTTATCGCGCGTTACAACACAGCCCCCATGTTTATATTTAATTAGATTCTGCCCTGGTTCTTTACAACGTTTTGTAACGACAAACGATGCATCGTCGGCTGATAAAAAACTCAAAACGCAAAAATGGACCCACCCGTATGCCACGCGGAAATAATCCATTCAAATAAACTCGTGATTCTGACGGTTGCTTAATTGAGATTTGTTGAACGATTTTTCTAGCTTTGTGTAGAAATTATTTTTCGGCTCGGTTTAATAACTGCTGCAGTTGCCCTGCATTGACAGAAAGATAATCAAATTAATGGTTTCAGTCTTGAAATATTCCTCTGAAAAATAAGTGTTTTCATTACAAGCGGCTGGTGCTAAAATTACACTGGTCATAGCAAAATTCTCATTCTCAGTATTTAAATAATTATCTGGAAGTTTGTGTAATTTTTTTAATTCGCTCCATTTGTATCAAGTGTATCAAAACTTACATCTAAAGATGTTGTGTCTTGGATATATCGTTGGTAAGGTCTCGATAAAAACGGAAACCCAATCATGACTCATTGAGATTTTTTGTTTACGCCGTTGCCATGGAAACCACGTCTCTAACCGCTGTATTTGGCTGGAATCAAGTTACATTTGAAACAGTGACCGCTAGCAGTAATTCAACTATGGGAGTTCATTTTCATTCTGCGCGAGTGAAATTGTTTGATTTTAATAAAAATAAAGAATTAACGTGAACAATTAATAAAAAATCGCCCCCTGTCTTACGACCATAAATTGTTTAGTTTTGTGTGCCTTCTCAGTAATGAATGAGTTAAAACTAAAGGTATGTAGACAATAAGTTTTTACTTTTACTGAATGTATTTTTGTATTTATTTCGGTCACACAATTTCGTCTATCAATTGATAATAACAGCATATTTCATACCTTCATATACATTTAACTCATCAATTAAAACGTAGGTCTCCCGATTCCGCCCGTCCGTCTGTCCGTTTGTCTGTTTGTCTGTCTATCCGTCTGTCTGCCGCCTGTCCGGGTTTTTATTAGACAGATAATCTTCGAAACTACTGAACCGATTGCTGTCAAATTTTATGTGTATTATGAATATCTTGTAGATGGTAAAACGTTAGCTAAAATTTGACTAATCATCCCCACCAACAATAGGGTGACGTCATCTCCAAAATTTACATTAGAAAAATGTTATTTAAATTTTATAACATAAAATACTTCTTTACATGTGGTTTATGAATCCGCATTGAGTTTTCACCCTAGGCATCCAGATTTTTGTGAAAAAAAATAAATTGTATAACAACATTTTTCAATTTAACGTTGAAACTGCAAAACCGAATGCTCTGAAATTTTGCAAGTGTTTTAAATTTATCTTAAGCATGAAAAATGGTTAATCAAATTTTTTTTGTTTATGCCTCCCTAAAAATTTAAAATCATGCTGAAAAATGTTCCTTAAATTTGATTCATGTTGAGTTTTTATCCTAGATATTAAGATTTTTGGGAAAAAATTCGAAAATAAATATAACAATATTTTACAATTTAATTTTGAATTTGTAAAAACCGAATTCTATGAAATCTTGCAAATATTTTGAGCTCATCCTACCATTTTGGCGAATAAATGTTTTACAAATTTATACGTGTTTTTGTCCCCTACGTTGAGGAGACACAATCAGTTTCATTTTCTTTTAGGAGGAGTCCCTTTGGATTTTGGGATTTTCAATATATTTTCGGAAAATTAATATCTCTATTATTGATGGAAATTTCGTAACGTAGTTTCCACCACTGTTTTCCGCTTACACAGCTCTATAAATTACTCGGGTAACATTGCTGATTTTTTTTGTAGGAAATAAGATACTCAAAAAAGAAGTTTGTGTCGTAGAAGCTGTTTTTACTGTATTTCATTTTCAACAAAATGAATCGATAACATTTTCCACTAAGCTGAACACAACAGTGAAAACCGCGTTTCGAAATTTCCATAAATAATTGAGATATTGAATTTTAAAAATAGGTGATTAAAAATTTCACCAAAACTTCAAAAAGAATAAAGATAGCAAACTGTTTTTAAACAACTGCCAATGTGTTATCTAGGGTGACCTGTGGACAATTTAAATTTAAAATTTCATAGCAATGAGTGCGTTAATAACGGAAATATTACATCCTGAAAATGTAATGAGCAAGCGAAAAAGGTAGGGACTGGCTTTAATGGTTGATTATTCGAATTCTTCCGAAGTATAAACGTAAACAGTCGAAATTAAGCATCGACTGAGAAAATGGGAATATCTACATTTTTCCCGTTGGTTTTCTGCTTTAATTGTACAAACGTCTTCTCATTTGAACATTTCTTTATCTAACTAGGTAGTACTGCCACGCGCAAAGTTTTAACCTGATCACGTCCTCTGAATAACCGAGATCTCGTCTCCTATTTTAGGCGCTACGCTTCATTTGTGCGTTTCCACGTACCACGTTCCCGCTTGCAGACACTTTTCAGGTACTGTTAATTATTTCATTTTAGGGATCTAACACCTTTTCCTTAGCACAATGCGAAAAGGAAAACGCCACAAATGCTCACGCGCGCTTGGGTGAACACATTAGGTAGGTGCCAGCACTTCCGCCGCCGCTCGCAGAGGCACTGCCCTAGATTCTATTCGCCAGGCAGCATGGACATCTACGTCCAAAACTTTTGCTAGGTTTATACATACATTTCATTTGCGCAATAATATTTCTTCAAACGTCTACCTGGTTGGATAAAGAAATGTTCAGATGAGAAAACGTTTGTACAATTAAACAGGTCAAACGATTTTATGATGTTCGATCTTAACTGTACTAGTCTTCTCATCTGAAGATGCAGTCTCACCCACCCTAATGTGCAAGAACAGCCCTTCCAAATATTGTTGCACGCTCACTTTAAACTTAATGAAGCGCAGCGCCAACTAGAGTGTAAAATAGGAGGCGAGATCGCGGTTATTTAGAAGACGTGATCAGTTAAAAAATTTGTGCGTGAAAGTAGCACCCGTGCACTACTACGTAGTTAGATAAAGAAATGTTCAGATGAGAAGGCAATTACAATTAAGGTCGAACATCATAAAATCGTTTGACCTGTTTAAAAAAGTGGGATCTGTCGGATTATACTTCAATAATCTTCGACCAATTTTTACTATCGCCACAGTGCAAACAATTAACTTTATATTTCCGAAATATTTTAAAGTTCTTTTTAAACTAGACTTGTCAAGAAAACCCAACGGGATTTTCTTTCTTTGAGAAAGAATTGTTTTAAATTTCTTGTAGGAAGTTCATTCCTTGGAGATTATTTAACTGCTGTAGAGGAAGGTGGGTAAGTCGGATTATCCTCCATATTTCGTAATTCAGAGTTGCCAATAATAAAGTACATTTCTTTTCATAAGATGACATTTCATTCATTATAATTTCTTTTACACGAGATTTACACTTCTGATCTCGTCCTCCAATTTAAATCTTCAGAGTCTTTAATCAAGGTATAATGTTGGCTTTTATCATTCAGTCGACGTTACTTTATGATATGTGATGGAGATACTGGGATTCTTATGGTAAATGACATGGTTAATATGAGGAATCGTAAGATTTTAGAACTTTTTTTGGACATTTTCATAAAGCTCACTCTTTAACGAGTCTGAAGTGAGTAGCAGTCAGACAGAAAACTCACCCCCAAAATGTTCTGAGAATGATCCAGAACCCCCATTATATAACTATTTACGTTCACATTGGTTTAATCAGATTTATGCGGTTTCTGGACTTATGACAACGATAATAATCGATTATCAAGAGATATTGTTTAAATTTTGTAATGTTAACTATATACTATGGATACAAGTTTTAAAAGTGTGACCGGAAATGATAAACTCGTATATTTATTTCATACTAAACAAAGTAAAAGCTTAGTTTAACAAGATTTTGAGTAAGCGACAATGATAGAGTCGAACATTTTCCAGTCATAACAATCTTTTACTTTGATCTTAGTCTTTTTTTACAGTTGAATAGAATTATCCAGTAGGGACACAACTAATGTTGTTGCTCATAATCCGAACGTGCTAATAGTTGAATTCTTTCAAAGTACAAACATAAACAGTTAAGTTAAGCGTGTATTGAGACATTGAGAATCCATTTTTTCCGTTGGTTACGGATTTCAGTTTACTATCGAAAAACTGTTTTGTTTATTTTCTGCTTCATTATAGTCGCGAGCGAAGATAATAACCGGAATAATCTTGGCAATGATTGATTCCTTGCACATCTCCCGCGGCATTTCACGTCGCACATGTTTCTCGTTCGTTTTCCGCTTCCCTAAGTGGTTCATTAGCGTTCGAAAGGATGAAACTCTGCCTAATTATGTCTTAATGTGACAGTAACGTGAGCAATAAAGGTTCAACTTACGTTCCCAGGAGCATCCGTACAACTCCACACGCATGCAGACGGTCCTTGGATGTTCGCTATACGGAATAAACCTCACTTTGCTGGCAATGAAGGGCAATTCCAGACGCTGCCTCACCACCAGGTAAGTGTTGCTGTTTCCCGTTAACACCTGAAAAAAAAAACATCTCGTGTTAAAACCCAGAGAAAATCTACCGAAATTTACAAAAACGCTGCCCCATTTTAATAATCTCCGTACAAGCGAAGCCAAAAATTGCATATGATTGAGTCCTTCAGCCCCCAATTACTTCCAAGCACACGAAAAACCATGCGGCGTCTTCGCTCTACTCGGGCATTTTAATGGAAAAAGCATGTCGCAGGACAAAACATCCATTAAGTTTCTTTCCTGAGCAAACAGCAATCCAGCTCAAATTCTCGACTTGTTGAACACGGGAATGCATGAATAAGAACAAAAGCGATTATTTTTTGACGAATGTTTAATGCGCAGCTGGTTTCTGTATGGCTTGTATTGTAAATTTTCAGCGCTACATGATGCAAGTGTGGACTCGGATTCCTGCTTTTTTCAGCGGGTAATGAATTGCGTTATTGCTTCGTGTTAAAACATGGATAAAAAGTACTTGATATCGGAGCGCGAATCAAAGACCGATCGGCCCGCAAAAACTTGCAGATTCCTGCTGATGTCTGGGCGCAGAGGGAGGTGGTGTTTTCTGCTATTTTATTTTTTTTTTTGGACGGGGGGAAGTCGTTTTATTTGCCAGTGTCGGATGCACAAGCGAAAATACAGCGTGTGAAATATCGACGGCGGGAAGGTTGTAAATATCCCATTTTCGCTGCTAGTGCATTTTTTTGTTGTGAGTGAGTTTGAATGGGAGTAAATGGAAAATGCTAATGTATTCATGGGGAAAAACGTGGCGACTTAGATGAAATATCAGGAATTAATTTGCAGAACAACGTGCAGCGGTGGTAATAAGAGCTCAACGAAAAGAGTGCGTCGACCCAGGGACATAGGGATGGAGTTTTAACTCTGCGTTGTCAATTTATATAAATTAAACACGTATACGCGGCGAAGTCATTCATTTTCTCTTAAAAAATAATAAAAACCAAAAATATGTTGCATTTGTATTTTTAAATATCCAACTATTGTCAGTTGTTGTTTATCATAAACTACTATACTTTTTTAATTTATTTATCATATAGAAATATCTTAATTAATTATTATAATAATAGACAACCGATGACCGTCGTTGCACTCTGCTGTTAATTCCCGTTCTCATTTACCTACTTGACCGTTTTACTAATTACGTTTTCGTTAATTGTATTTATGGAATAAGTGACGATTAAATTCAGTGATTATCACCCGCTACTAAATCCGGGCGATCCAGCGCGTCATGATTACATTTGTTCAGACTGGTGTCGGTGTCGGTGTCGAACTCGGTCGGTGTCCAACTCGACATCCTATTCCGGCGCGCGTCGTATACGTGTTCTATAATACGAAAAGAAAAGAGTTAAAACTCCAATAAAAAAAAAACAGATAAAATTGTAAAATCGTGTCTTGTTTTGATGGTTTTATTGACGTTTCACAGCTTGTAGGATGTTTTGAAGCAGTAATGTATGATATTATTTTGAAAATTGAGATGTGCTTTAAGATTATCATAAATATGCTAAGACACAAATCAAAATTTTTGCATTTCCTTCAAAAATGATGTCAGTTATTTTCATACAGGTTGTAAGTTTCTTTATATTAAAATTATTTTCGATTATATACGGTGTTGTGTTTTTTAGTCATTGCACACTATTTTATTTTTAATTTTACGCTTTATAACCATAGTTTATTTTTGAAACTCCGATGCGACGTTGTCACGTTATTCCAATTTTCTTGAATTCTTTTACGAAAGGACTCACAAAAAAAAATTAATACTGAGTGTTTATAAAAATCTAAAACGGTACAATTTGCAAATAACGATATTGCAGGTTTTTCAAATAGAAAATATGCTTTATTACTGCATCTTACTCTATTTTTTGTTCGCTTTCTTTCAAACATCGCTGTTTAATTTTTCCATTCTTTGATTTTACAAATTTGCCATTTATACATGTTTCATTTGATGTTAGAATTTTTATATTTTACAATTTTTCGTTTATTCAATATTCCGATTTCTTAGTTTTCCGATTTTCAAATTTTTCGATTTTTTTTAACTTTCCCATTTTTTTTAATTGTTCGATTTTCGATGTTCCATTTTTCAGTTCTACATTTTTGAAGTTTTTTGATATTTTAATTTTGCGATTTTAAAATTTTGCTATTTTTGATTTTCCAATATCCAATTTTTCAACTTATCCGTTATTTAAATTTCGATTTTCTAATTTTCGATTTTTTGATTTCTAGATATTTTAAATTTTAAAATAAAAATTGTCCAATTTTGTATTTTCCGATTTTTCAATTTCCCGATTCTTAATTTTCCAATTTTTGTTTTTTTAATATCCGATTTTTTAATTTCTAGATACATATTAATTTTTAAATTTTTTACTTTTTTCATTTTCGATTTTTCAACTTTGCAATTTTGCGATTTTTTAATTTCCCAATTATGTTTTTTTTATTTTACATTTTTTTCTCTATTATTCAAATTTTCAATATTACAATTTTGCTATTTCTTTATACCTCAATCAAAGGATCAATAAATTTTTAAGTTATGTTTGAACTTATCAATTTCTCGACTGTTAATTTTTCAGTTTCACAATTTTTAAATTCTTCATAATTCAATTTTTGGAATTTATGGATTTTTTTGATTTTTAATCGTCCAAATTCTCGATCTCTCAATTTTTTCAATGCGTAAAATTGTGATTCTTCAATTTCTGGAAAGAAAAATTTTTCGATTTTTCCATTTTCCATTTTTGATTGTTCGTTGCCCGAATTTTTTCAAATGCTCAATTTTTCGTTTTATAGAAATTTTAGTTTTTCGATTTTGTCACTTTTGGTTCGTGATTACGTGATTTTTTCATTTCTAGATTTTTTTAATTTTTCGATTTTTCAAATTTGCAATTTTTAGCTTTTAAAACTTTCCCATTTCTGAGTTTTCAATAGCCGATTTTTCAGTTTCTCGGTTCTTTAATTTTTCTATTTTTTAATTCTTAAATTTTTTGATTTTCTAATGATTTTCTATTTTGAGGGAAAAAGCAAACTGTAAGCGATGACTTTGAAAACAAATATTCTTAAGGTTTTTTTTATCAAAAGCAAAACTATCAACTAAATTGAGGATTTGGGTGTTTGAGAATTTGAGGATTTTGATATTTTGAAGATTTGAGGACTTCGGTGTTTTTAAGGATTTGAGGATTGTAGTGTTTTGAGCATTTGGGAATTTTGGTATTTTGGGGATCTGAGGATTTTGGTGTTTTGAGGATTTGGGGATTTTACTGTATTGGGCATTTGAGGATTTTGATGTTTTGGGGATTCGATGATTTTGGTGTTTTGAGGATTTGAGGATTTAGGTGTTTTGAGAATTTAAGAATTTAGGTGTTTTGAGAATTTGAGGATTTTGTATCTTAAGGATAAAATTCAGTAGAATCTCAGCAAGGAAATTTGTTTTTTTTTTATAACCATCAATAAAGAGAAGGTCGTCGCCAGATTCAGAAGGAGGAAGATGAACCAAAGACAAAACTGAAGATTGTTCATGTAGACTGTCCCATGAAGTACAACACTGATGTTTCTGATTGGGACCTGGGGTCGTATTTTGTTTCTATAACGATAAAATATCGGTACCGATAAAATGTGGTCGTCTTTTTCTTTCGCATCTGAAATTTATATTTTCGTCCTTGTTATTTATCGCTTCGTTATCGCTTCGTATCGTATCGGTGGAAACAAAATCCCACCCCTGACCTGATCTGACCTGACCTGGCCTGACATGATCTGACCTGACCTGACCTGGCCTGACCTGATCTGACCTGATCTAACCAGATCTGGACTCACCTGACCCATGGCCAATTCAGTAAATTGTCGTGCTCTATAGTGTTCGTCGTGAACTTTGGTGTGTTCAATAAATAATTGGTTGAGTTTTACCCACGCCGCGTCGTTAATTCCCGTATATCATCACAATGGTGTCAGAAGTGGGATGGAACGGTTATGGATTTACTGGGACTCCGTGGGTAATTTAAAATTTGATTATAAAATATCCAAAATTTTGAAATGCCACTTCAAACTCAAATTTTATAACTTTCAAATTAATCTCCAGCATAAACAGAAGCCACACCGATAGCTTTCTTTAAGACAGCCATAATCGCGAAAGCTCCGTACGTATTTAATTAATTACGTGTCGACCAGTAGGCAACATCATCTACTATACAAAAACAGCCGGGAAATATAAAACCAACAAAACCCTCAAATCGAACTTAATCTTCTCGACTAACGACTTCACTTCTTATATAAAGCTCGACGAAACAATTAGACGGTTGTTTTTGCGGATTAAGGAGCAATAAAAATCCTGATCATTTAATCACTCGAGGGTTGATTGCGTTTTCTTTTCGCCCCAAACGGCTCTATTTATTTTAGCAATAATTGTGTCGTGAAATAAATATCGAGTGTCCCACAAACACGGGCACTTTGAATTCGATTTGTTTACAGACGGGTGGACAACGTCGACATAAAAACAAAACGTGCTAGGGGTAGACAGCTGTTGCACTGGCGGTTTCGTTATAACCGCATTGCGGTAGGCTTAGTCATGCATTTTTACATAAAATGCATTTTAGAGACACCTGTTTTGCTCGATCAAATCGGCTTAATAAAAAAAAATACAGATTTGTTTTGGCGACCTTCCAACGCGGAAAAATATTGGGACAAACAATATTTATGTACGGCGGGGCGGTTCGCCGTGAAAGGATTCTGCGGTTTGGTTTAATTTTTTTTGATTAAATATTTTTCCAGGACGTCCGCCCGCTTTGTATCCGTTGTATTTATTTTTAATATCTCTTCCCGTTTTAATATCAGATCTCGTTTGAAGTAATTGAATTAATCTTTTCAGCATACTGGGATGCCTGGAAACCGGTGAATAGAATTCTGATTAACGGAAACCCATTACGAGCTGTACATAGCGATTGACATTATTTGTATTTTTCGAAGCGGCCAAAACAGACTAGAATAAAAGTAATGTGATATGTGGATGTTGT